ATAATAATAATAATAATAATAATAATAATAATAATAATAATAATAATAATAATAATAATAATAATAATCCAAACAAAACTATATACAAAATAAAATTAAAATTAAAAAAAAAAAAAAAAAAGAAAAAACAAAGAGGAGTCACCGACTCATTTTGTAAATGATATGGATCATTTTGATCACACATTGAAAATGTTTGAAACGAGAGAGCTTATCTATATAAGAGGAGCAAAACTCCTCTTACAAACATAATTACTTGCACATCGATGTGGGCAAGTATTGAGAAGTCAAAAGGTTCTTATTTAAGAAGCTTTAGCGTTGTCTTCTTATTTTAGTTTTTATTAATTTATTTATTTATTATTAGTGGGGGTTTGGATAGATTAACCCAAAATGTATGTGTTGTTTTAGTTTTTAGCAGTCTAGAGCAAATTGCTAAGTTATTAAATAATATTTTGATTTTTTGATTAAATATAAAATATTAAACAGACGAATTTCTTAAAATTTTGGTGAATTTGTCAAATAATCAAATTACAACAAAACAACAACAACAACAACAATAATAATAATAACAATAATAATAATAATAATAATAATAATAATAATAATAATAATAATAATCCAAACAAAACTATATACAAAATAAAATTAAAATTAACATTAAAAAAAAAAAAGAAAAAAAAAAAGGCAAAGGGGAGCCACATGCTCCCTTTGTAAATGATGTGGGTTCATTTTCATCCCAAATTGAAAATGTTTGAAAAGATGAGCTCCAGAGCTCTTCTATATAAGAGGTACAAACATAATTGTTTGCCCATCGATGTGGCGAGTATTGAGAAGTCAAAAGGTTCTTATTTAAGAAACCTTAGCTTTGTCTTCTTATTTTAGTTTTATTTATTTATTATTGGGGGTTAGGAAAGATTAACTCAAAATATATGTGTTGTTTTAGATTTTAGCAGTTTGGAGCAGATTACTTAGTTATTAAATAATAATTTTGGTGTTTTGATTAAAGATAAATTGTTAAAATGACGAATTTGTCAATAATAATAATAATAATAATAATAATAATAATAATAATAATAATAATAATAATAATAATAATAATAATCTAAACAAAACGATATACAAAATAAAATTAAAATTTAAAAAAAAAATAAGGAGAAGACAAAAGGAAGTCACGGGCTCCCTTTGTAAATGATGTGGGATCATTTTGATATCACATTGAAAATGTTTGGAAAGAGGAGCAATGTTCCTCTTACAAACATAATTGCTTGCCCATCAATGTAGGCAAGTAACCTGAAGGGTGTGGTTGAGTGTAAAGGACTCATTCATCCTTAACCAAAGGTAAAGGGTTCGATCCTTGGATTTGGGAATGGAGCAGCCTTAAATCTCTAAGGCAGCTGTCCCACCCAAAAGAGGTGCTTACAATTTAGCGAGGGGATTAGTCACTGTGTCCAACGGTGGAAACCCTGGGTTTACCAAAAAAAAAAATCAATGTGGGCAAGTATTGAGAAGTCCAAAGTCTTTAAGTAGTGATAAGTCCAAAGTTTTTTTTTTTTTTTTTTTTTTTAAAATTTAGAAGTAAAGGAAAATTAAAAATGGAAAGGAAATATTTCAGTAATAATATTTTACATCATCAAGTAGTAAAGACATATTTTAAAAATAGTAAATGTAAATTAAAAATCATCAAATTAAAATGTAACGGAAATTAGGTAAAAATATCACTACATCTATATTCTAATTGACTGAAAATAAAAAAAAAATAATTGACTGAAAATGAATCTAATATTACTAATTGACTGAAAATATAAAATGAAATGAATATTAATAATTGACTGCAAATAAAAAATGATCCATAATTGACTAAAAAAAAGACAAATAAATGGTCAGATCATTGCATTTTAATTAAAAATGGAATGAAAATTAAAAATTTGAGGAAAAAATATTTCAATAATAATATTCTACATTATCAATAGTAAATGCATATTTTTTACAATAGTAAAAGTAAATTAAAAATGGAACGAAAATATTTCAATAATAATATCTACATCATCAATTAAAAATGGAACGAAAATTAGGTAAAAATATCACTGCATTTGATATTCTAATTGACTGAAAATAAAAAAAATAATTTGATGAAAATGAATCTGATATCACTAATTGACTGAAAATATAAAAGGATAACTAATTGAGTAATATTCTACCATTATATATTTTAACCCAAATAACCCGTCCCGATGAATTGAAGGTGTTAGCTCTAGACGAAGATGAACAAGATTGCGTTGTCACTACCAATGTCGTCTACAAAGAGGTTTCAATAATGTGTAAATATAATCGGGGATATTAAGTTTTTTTTTTAAATGAAAAAATTGCTATATATCTTGACAAAAAAATATATCTTCCATACAAATGAATAAGGATACCAATTCATTTCTATAACTGAGTTGTTAGAGAACGAGCACATTTGCCTAATTTATGAAAATACTAAATAATGATAAATAAAATCTTCAAAGTTATAGCACCATATGTGTACATCTAGACATTAGCTATTAATTTGAGCAATTATTTACACAAATTCAAACAATAATAACATCAAAATATATAAACGATGCAAACCATATCTTTAATTGTACTATATAATATTGGATGTTCTAATTTAAATAATTATATATCGATTCATGTATTCTTACTATATTACAACAAATTCATTCCGTGCATCGCACGGGTGCAAATACTAGTTGACTATTATGACATTTTCAATAATGTTTTAAAAGTTAAGAATAATTTTAGTAGTCTAATAATTATTATAGGTTTTAATAAAGGAAATTTTACTTTTAATCATATAATTATTGGGATGTTGTTAATTGCAGTTCACGAATTTTAAAATTGTCAATTTAGTACCGTACCGTAACTATTCAATTTTTTCTCAATTTTAATCGAATTATCCGCGAAAAGTAACTGAAAAATTTTAATAGGTAAAATATTAAGGACAATTTAGTCTTTTGCATCTTCTATTTTCTTTCTTCACCATTTCTTCACTGGAGGATTCGATTCAACTTTGTGTTTTCCCCTTCAAGCATTTTATTTCACCTTTTGAAATTCAATTGATCTTCTGGATTTAAAAGTTTGGTCTTCTGGTCTTAAGGTGCTTTGTTCTGTGCTTAAGATGTATGATTTATGTACTTAAGGTGAGTGATTTGTGTTTTTAAGGTGTTTGTTTGTATGCTTAAAGTGCGTCATTTTAATGCTTAAGGTGCGTCCAACCGCACAACTGCACGGGAAATCATTTCCGCACCTGAACCCTTCCCTATATATATATTACAATATATTAACTACACAATATTATATGCATATTAAATTACCATATAACCAACATAGTCTGCGTGGTGGTTTAGCAACTTGTCCCTTAAGCATGAGGTTGGGGTTTGATCCCCACCTATGTGAATAGAGCAAATCTAGTCAATCCCCTACCACTTAGTGTGTGTGGGACGGGGAAAAAAAAAATTAAATTACTATATATATGAATATGTATTAACTATTATATATTATCATATCCATATACATTTACCTGTAATGTGGAAATTGTTTTCAGGAATTTCAATTTCAATGTTTGGTATAAAGTTCAAAATGTCCATTATTCTAGGGGATATTCAAACATCCCGGAATACCATATCTCAAACTTTAGACCTCCCACCTTCCACATAAGGGAACAACTAAATACTAGTGGAACACAACTTTATATATTAAAGTCGCCCACTAAATAGTTAATTGCATTATTAAAGTCGCCAACTTTATATATTAATTAATGTATAAAATAGGAAATTAAAGGAATTGTTAGTTATGAGGTTGATATGGAAGTGATTTGTAGGGAAGGGCAGGGTAAGAAGACCGACAAATAAAGCATAATCAAAGTTTGTAAAAATAATGCATTCATATCCTCAGATAGACCACTTTAATTTCTGATTATTAAAAAATATGAAGGAGAAATAATGCATTCATGTGATGTCCTCAATCACTTTAATTTTAGATATTTAATAATAAACTTTAGAAGTTTCTCTGATCTTTAGTTATTAATTAATAAAATTACAATAAAAACAAACATGGCAGCAAGCTAATTAGCTCTTCTCAGATAAGATCAGACTGTTGCTTGCCAAAACATATATGGCAGCAAGCTAGTTTCAGTGTGTAATACCAAAACATAAAACTACATACATACATGGCTTGTGTTGCTTTAACTTCTCTCATTAAAACCATTGAGATTCAGTTTCTTGGCCAAACACCAAGGGTTAGCCTGCACTCTCTCCATCATCATCATCATCATCAGGATCCAGCAGGAATCATCAACTCTTTCCTTGAAAAACTTTATTCTTTGCAAGCCCTTCTCCAGGTGGAATCCAGTGGTGATGGTGATGGTTATGCAGTGAAAGTGAGAGATTTAGAAATGGAAATCAGAGACTTTGCACTCAAAGCTGAAGACGATATTGAACTACACCTTAGCAACTTCATCCTTCTCGGGGGAGAGTATGGAGAAAAAGCTGCAACTTGCCATCAACTCCTCCTCCATCAAACTTTGCAAGAAGCTGCAAAATATGCAACAGACCTGTTGGAGTCATCAAAAACGTTGTTGGGTAGTGCTAGTATTGCTTTAACTATTCTCATCAAAAAAATTATGCATTACTTCCCAACGGTGTATCTTTGTGATAATGAAACAGCAATAAGAATGGAACATTTGTCGCGACATCTTTCTACCCTGCGACGCTGCTTATTGCAGGAGAGGAATTCCAATAATACTGCTGCTGCAATCAAAATATTGGAAACCAAAATCACAAACTTCGCACTCAAAACTGAACATCACCTCCAGATACAACTAAAAATCTTCCTTCTAGCCAGACACACCGGTACCATACATCAACAAATAGCTTCCCAGAAACTCCATCACACCTTGCTAGAAGCAGCAGAAAGCGCAACAGAGTTGTTGAACATAATCATCACCAGAAATGAAGTGGAAGTTGATGATGAGGCAAATCAAACTCAACCATCAAATACTTGGTTAAAACATGCTAGCGCCGCAAGTGTTGAGTCTCATGGATCCACCTCGCATGGCTTTCTAAAGCCTGAGGCCAGAATGGTTGGTCGTCACAGTGATTGTACACTCATAAAGAATGTACTCTTTTCTGACAGTTTTGATGTACCAGGTATAATCTCAATTGTCGGAATGGTGGGTATTGGAAAGACTACTGTAGCAAGAAATGTGTATGAAGATCCATCAGTTGCATCCTATTTCGATGTAAGAGCTTGGGTTACTATACCTCCTCCTCAACGCTACAATAAGACCAGAATGCTAAGCCAACTTCTTCACTCAATTACACCAGTAGAAAACCAAATGTAATTCAAAAGGGAAGCACTCCTCATGAACTACAAATGCAGGTACGCAAAAGCTTTGGGGGTAAGAAGTATCTAATTGTTTTGGACAACATTACGAGCGACCAAACTTGGGAGCAAGCTTGGACTGACATCTATGAGTGTGTTTCTAATGCATTAGATGGAAGTTACATATTACTAACCACTAGACACTACTTCGACCTAAATATCAATATGATACCATATATCCATATCCATAAGATGACTTTGCTAGATCCAAAAGAAAGCTGGGAACTATTTTGTAATATCCTTTCTATTGATGAAGAGCACTTGGCCCCTAAATTTGAAAAAATTAGGAACCATGTTGTGGAGAAATGTGATGGATTACCCCAGTTAATTGTTGAAGTTGCCAAGCGTTTATCTAAATGCAACAACATACAACAAGGGTGGAAAATGATTGAAAAGGAATTAGAGTCATTGGGACTTCTAGATCGCAATGCACTTAGTGTTAGTTACAATATGTTGCCACATCATTTGAAAGTTTGTTTTCTATACTTTGGAGTCTTCCCAAAACGTAAAAAAATTCTGGTTAAAATGCTTTTAAAGTTGTGGATTGCTGAGGGATTTGTGAAGATATTGAAACATAAGGAGTTAGAAGGTGAAGCTTATGAGTACTTACAAGAGCTTATTGATAGAAGTCTTCTCTTAATGGAAGATCGAAGTTCTGACGGCAAAATCAAAACTTGTAGAATGCACAGTGCTATGCATAGCTTCTGCGTAGTAGAAGCTCAAAAAGAAGGCATTTTATGTGCAGTAAATACTCAGCAACATTCAGGATTATCATTAAAATCATTTACAAATTCCTGTCGTTGGCTAAGTTCTTACTCACATAGTTTTGACCATTATGTGCTCCTTGGTACAAACATCCCTCGCTCCATTTTCTTCTTTCTTGAAAATCATGAAATGTTTGTTCCTCCCAAGTTGTTAAGAGTTTTGACTTTTGATACTTCAATATCACTTCAAAGACTGCCAGTGCAATTAGGAGATTTAGTTTTTCTGAGATATCTATCCATAACACAATGGTTTGAGGATCTGGATCATGTAGTGTCAAATAATCCAAATTTAGAGACACTTATTGTTTCTGGTAATGGAGCACCAATAGTCCATTTGCCATCTAGTATTTGGAAGCCACCAAACTTAAGGCATCTCGAACTTGGCAATTCATATATGGTAGATCCTCCAAGTGCAGATAAAAAGAATTTACAAACATTATCTTGGGTGGTGAGACCAATTCATTGCAGACAAAAGGTGTACAACAAGTTCCCTAACATAAAAAAGCTGAAAATATTATTGAAGGATGACATAGAGCCACCTAGTCACATTGGAGGATGTTGCAGCAATCCTATTATTTTGGATCATTATTTTAAATGTTTGGAAGGGCTTGAGAAGCTTAGCATTTCGGTTTCCATTGGTTGTAATGCAGCCCTTCCACAACAGTGTATGTATCCTTCAGGACTGAAGAAGTTGAAGTTGAGTGGAACTAATGTTTGTAAGGGGGATTTACATGTAATTGCGAAGTTACCCCAACTTAAGGTGCTCAAGTTGGAAAATGCCTTCCATGGAACAGTATGGAACTCACTATCTAAAAGAGGATTTCCTGTACTAATATTCTTTCTCCTTGAAGCTAAAGAACTCAAGCAGTGGGTAGTTGGCCAGAAGCACTTTCCAATGCTCAGACACTTAGTCTTAAAATCATGTAATTGTTTGGAACAGATCCCCATGCGTTTTGCAGAAATTTACACCCTAAAGTCAATTGAGTTGGAGGAGTGTAACTCTTCCCTTGACGCTTCTGCCAAGCAGTTAAAACAAAAATGAAGATCCAAGGATGTTCAGGTTAGAAGCAAATTAAAGCATGTTTCTTTATATTTCTTTTATATACTTTCTTTACAAAATCAGCTAGTATTCCTTTTTCTTCTTTTTTTTTTTTTTCTTTTTTTTTTTCTAATCTCATTTGTTTTTGTGCATTATTTTTCATAGATCAAAATCATTGGTCCCGAATATGATGACTCACATAATACACATACAGAATTGTCTATGTAAGATGACATGGACGGCCAGCCTCATAGTAAATAACTGTTGAAAAACGGTATGTGTTAGGTTACATGTGTCTTGAATTGCTCCTTTTTTTTTTTTTTTTTTTACATGCGAAATACATTACATATAGTTACATATACAAAAAATAAATTCACTTGTTAATATTTAATGATTTCTCATTAATGGAATTAAAAAACCTGCAGATCGAGTATCCAGAAGTTGCTCTTGAAAGATGGGCTCAAGAGCTTTGTGTTAAATAGACCGTGGATAACTTTTTATTAGCAAACATTATATTGTGAAGGAGAAGAATTGAAGATGTATGTTGGTCGTCATTAAAGATCATGATCTACTATTACTTCATGAGTATATGTGACTGGGCAAGGAAGGTGTTTCATCTCATCTGGTGCCTATATGTGATGATTATACTACTTTAATTTATATCTCTGTTTCTTTTATCTACCTCTTGCAATATAATTAATCTTGAGTAGTAATGTGCTTTTGTAGATTGGTATGTCACTTGAATACCTTTTTGAAATATTTTTCCAAACTGGGAAGCTATATTGCAAGTAGTCAAGTATTGAAGGTTTAGAGGTAAGAAGACTTGATTAGTTATTTCCTTCTAATTGAAGAATGTATGTGTTTTGTTTCAACTAAAACTTTAAATTCATATATAGTAAGACTACACTTAGCTTATTATTTTTATATATATTTTGTTCAATAGTTGTCCCTCTCACTAACTAATTGATATTGATTTGCAAGGCTTAGCATTTCGGCTTCTATTGGTTGGAATGCAACCCTTCCAGAAGTGTGATTGTATCCTTGAGGAGGTGTTTGCTAACGTCATGAAGAATATTGATTACTTTTTTCTTGATAATCAATATCCTCTGGGAGTTACTTTTTTCTTGATATAAAATAGACAATATTGATTATTTATTTAAACATATAAAATAGAGAACAACTTACCTATGAATTTCGCAACTTGAAAGTGGACGAATTTGAGATTTCAGAGCTTGGGGAAGAAAAAGACCTTCAATGGTATGTATAAGAATAAAATAATGACTGTTGCGCAATGGGTTTCAACATAAGAAGCGGATTGTAATTTGAAATTCTTATTTTACCCCTCTATTATTAAATTGTTTTTAAGTTTTCCATTAGCTGCAAACAGAATATTAACGCTAAGGACCAAACTCACCACTTTGCTCATAACTGGGGACTAAACTTGGATACTATCATAACTTAGGGATTGAGTCGGAACTGGGTTATAACTCAGAAACTAAAGATGCAATTTTCCCTATTATATATATATATATATATATATATATATATATATATATATATATATATATATATATATATATATATATATAAAGTGTCAAATTGGCCCCCTAAGTCACATGGATAGTGCAATTGGGTCCCCTAAGTTAAAAAAAAGAGAAAAAGAAAAAAAAAAGTTTCAATGAAGTCCTCTAAACCGGCAAAATAGTTCAATTAAGTCCAAGTTGACTTATTTAATCAGGTTAAAGCCATGTGATATTGACACGTATCTTTTTATTTATTTCTAGATCTGGAACGAGGGCGGCGGCCAAGGCAGTGGGAAACTAAATCACCCAGTAATCTGAATTCTTCGGATTTGAGATCTCTTGCCTATTCAATCTTTTTCCTTCTTCTTGTTATTGGATATCTCGTTACACATTTTCTCATTTTTTGCCGAACTATTTACTATATTTCATACGTTTCGGATATAGCACGTCCCCCCTTTTTTTTTTTTTTTATAAAGACTAGAAATTACTGAATCAACTGCTCCTCCAGAATGGCCGGTAATACCAATTAATACCATTGTGTTTGTATTATTGTTGTGCACGGTTGCTTTTTGTGGCTTTCATTTAGATTCAATTTTAAATGCTATTCTATTATCGTATAAAATACATTGCTTTGGACAAAATATTTTGTACACCAAAATATTTTGATTTTCTTCCCAACGTACTACCTTCTCTTTTTAATTTTAAAATTATGTCAACACTTCCTCTAAGGGGGTGTATTCAATCATGACTTTTGTAGAGTTTTAAAGACTTTTAAAATGATTGATTTTAATAAACTTTGATTGATTTTCATAGAGTCGTTCAAAACTTTTTAAAACTTTATAAGATTCTATAAAAGTCTATATAAAAACATTCATAGACTTTTATCAACTTTTTATTTTTAAAAATCTACAAAAGTCTTTGAAATTCTAAATTGAATACATCCATACAAACTTTCAATGATTTTAATTCTTATCATTTATAATTTTCTTACTAAACATTTATAATATATCATAAAATTCTTCTTATTATATAGTTCTTCCCCCACATCAACATTCTCAACATTATTATTTTTATCCATATTATGCTGAGACTTATATGCTAATTACTTATAGAGAAAATTTCAATTTTGGTCCACTGACTATTGGAGTTGTTTTAATTGCAACACTTGACTTTCAAAAATGTTAATTTAGTACCTTGACTATGCAATTTTTATCAATTTTGATCACGCCGGCCAAATTGCCGGCCAAATCTCACCGGAAAAATTTAATATGGCAAATAATGAGGGTATTTTAATCATTTTACTCATGTTCTTTCTTCTCCGATGAACTTCCCTCCATTTCCGGCGAGATTCCTTCTCCGATGGTGTTGATGAAATGCCGCAGGGAATATTGATAAATGGGCAGTTTCCAGGGCCGTCAATTGAGTGTGTGACCAACGACAACTTGATTGTTAACGTTTTCAACAGTTTGGATGAACCATTTCTCCTTTCTTGGTACATAACTCTCTTCAATAGTAATTCTTGAACGTGTTGATCTAGCACTTGTGCCTTCTAGTATTAGTTTTTCTGTGCAATTTCTTTCAAAATTCAAGAAATTTAGAGCAAAGAATACAGCTTTGTGTTTTCTGTAGTCTGTAGATGCATCCTTGTATTTACCCACTAGATCTGCCCTGTTAGTTGAAGAACAACTAGGCTATTTAGCCCGAGAAGCTTATCGGAGAAGGAATCTCGCCGGAAATGGAGGGAAGTTCATCGGAGAAGAAAGAACATGAGTAAAATGACTAAAATACCCTCATTATTTGCCCTATTAAATTTTTCCGATGAGATTTGGTCGGCAATTTGATCGGCGTGACCAAAATTGATAGAAATTACCAAATTAACATTTTTGAAAGTCAAGTGTTGCAATTAAAACAACTCCAATAGTCAGTGGACCAAAATTGAAATTTTCTCTTACTTATATATATTATTAATAAACATCAAAAAAAAAAAAAAAAAAAAAAAAAAAAAAACTATTTCATTAGAAATTAATAACAATATTGAACCATAAAATTTATAATAAAAGAATTGATCAAATAAAATATTTAAAAATATAATTACAAGTTGTATAAAAAAAATCTAATATATATATATATATATATATATATATATATATATATATATATATATATATATATATATATATATATATATATATATATATATATATATATATAATTATACTTGATACATTGTTAGCCATCACGCAAAGACCTATTATTTGCAATAGCAATTTAAGACAGTGAACAACAACAATGTGCTACTGTTTGCAACTCCAAATTGTTGTTGCAAACAGTAGTTCGCTATTCGTAGTAACATGTTGTTAAAAAATATATATATATATATATATATATATATATATATATATATATATATATATATATATATATATATATATATATATATATATATATTACGAATATAAACATAAAAAGAATAAAAATCAAAATATATAAGTATTTATATGAATATTATGAAACATATTCTAAAATTTGACGATGAAAAATTTGCTTTGTTAATGTATTTAAGGAGAATTAGAGAAAGTTAGGGATAAAAATTCTTAGAAATAAATAAAAATCAATATAAACAAGCAATAATGAAGTAAAAATAATATTATTTCGAATTTTTAGAGGAAGATTGTAAAGTTTATGAAAGAGAGAAAAATTGGTAGAGTTTAGGTATGAGGAAAATATAGGATAATGAAGAAAAAAATAATTTTATTGAATTTAGATAGGTTTATAAAGTTTAAATAGGGAGAAAAAAATAGAGTTTAAATAGAGAGAGAAAACATTCCGAAAGAAAATTTTGAAATCTTGGGGTTGATGGTCGGATTTTAACTATTTATATTTGAGAAGGAAAAGTCTATAAAAGTCCTAAAATTAAAAAGTCTACAAAAGTTCATATCTTTTTGAATACCACATGACTTTTAAAGACTTTTTAAAAGTCTTAATAGAATACTACATGACTTTTAAAGACTCTTTAAAAATCTTGATTGAATACCGCCTGACTTTTAAAGACTCTCTAAATGTTTGAATTGAATACCTCCAAACTTTTAAAATTCATAAATGTCTTTAAAACTCTATGAAAGTCATGATTGAATACACTCCCCTAAGATTTTTTATGTTCATATATACTTTCTCAATATATTGAAGCACAACGAGTCAATAACGCATCCACTGAGACTCCATTTGACTTTCCATTTGGGAGAGTCACTTCATGCCACTTGACCACAAGGTCTTTGGCCACTTCCTCTAAATTACTTGCACAATTAATTAAGTGAAAATGATTACATTTTAAATTATTTTACTTGCACACTTACACTAAAGTATGAGTTATTTACAAAAATATCATTATATTTTTTAAAATAGCATATGATTCATTAGATGTGGACAGATGAATGACTGTGATTGGTTATCATTCCTCTCTTGGGCGTCCGTTCTCACCTGAACGCGCGCATATATATATATATATATATATATATATATATATATATATATATATATATATATATATATATATATATATACATACTTGCACACTTACACTAAAGTATGAGTTATTTACAAAAATATCACCATATTTTTTAAAATTACATATGATTCATTAGATCTGGACAGATAAATGACTGTGATTGGTTATCATTCCTCTCTTGGGCGTCCGTTCTCACCTGAACGCGCGCATATATATATATATATATATATATATATATATATGGAAGGGATCAGGTGCGGGGAGGGTTTTCCGTGCGGTTGTGCGGGTGGACGCACATTAAGCATTAAACTGACGCACTTCAAGTACCCAGCACACAAACGAAACACCTTAAGAACACAAACCCACGCACCTTAAGCACAAAACTCATACACCTTAAGCACAAAACACATGCACCTTAAGTTTCAACAACAACTCACATTAAGTACAAAACTCTCGCACCTTAAGCACAAAACACATGCACCTCAAGTTTCTACAACTACTCACATTAAGCACA